CCCCCTCTTCGCACCCACCCTCTCTCTCTCTCTCTCTCTCTCTCTCTCTCTCTCTTTCTCTTTCCGCCCGTCTTTCTTTCCGCGTCTTTCCGTCTGCTTTAGCGGCCATGTTTTACTTTCGTTTCACCTTTTTTTTTATTTTGCCTTTGTTGTAGCGTTTTGTTTTGTGTTTGTTATTTTGCAGAACCATTTATCAGTGCCCGTTAACTCTAGATTCCTTCACAAGTGTAAGGTTAGTAGCGACGCGCGAACGTTTTTATTTTTCGTCGCGGCTATACCCTGTATTATTTTTGGTTCGATTCGTCGGAGCGACTCGCGAGAACGGCGAAAGCCTCGCGCAAATTTTCAGGTAAGAGAGAAAACGTTGCGATCGTTTCTCAGCCTCGATCGCGAATCGCGTCTCGCTCCGTACGTTGTTGCTCGTTCTATTCTTTCGTCGAACTCCGCCATTCGTTCCACGAGTCTTTCCCCTCGCTCCACCCGTCTCCGCTCGTTACGCGTATATCGTACAGCGAGAAGCTCGTCGAACACGCGGGGACGACGGTTCGTTCGGCGTACGCGTCGGGACGTGGGAAGCGACGCTCGCGGTTCGGCACGAGGCGAGACGCGAAGTCGGTCGTTCGGCGAGCCACGGAATTTCGGACCGGACGGATTCGATTCCGAGCGAAAGATCGTCGGCGGATGAAAAGTCGCGGCCGACTCGGCTCGGCTCGGCGAACGAGATAACCGTTCGAGAGAGGGAGAGAGCACGGTTAATAGCGACAACCGGCCGGCGAGTCGAGCGACGGGTCCCCCGAGCAATTTGTCCCTCGGATGCCGCGAAACGTCCGCGGTTATATTATTCCCATAGTTTTCTTTTCCAATTCTCGTCGTCCGGACTTTCGTTCATCGAATTGGACTAAAAGCAGGGTAAACGAAACCGATCGAAAAGAAAACTGGCCGAGCTGTCTTGAAACTATCGCTACCGACGGAGACGAACTTTGAAAAAACTTGAGACGGCTCGAAGAAAATCGACCACGCTCGCCGCTCGCCGCGCCGTCCGCGACGAAGATCCGTCGCTCTCGCCTCTCTCTCTCCCTCTCTCTCTCTCTCTCTCTCTCTCTCTCGACCGTGGCAAACCGCTTCCGGGATTTCGAACGTTCCGAATCGACGTTGGAGATCGACTCTCTCGCGAACTCGCTCCGCGGCTCGGCGCATCCCGTTCGGGCTGGCTGCGCGAACAAACTGAAAAAAAAGAACGAACGAAAAGAAAAGAAAGGAAAGGGAAAGGGAAAGGGGAAGGTAAAGGAAAGAAAAGAAAATAAAAGAAAAGAAAAGAAGAGAAAGCCGTCACCGACGGCGACCGATCGTTAATAGCGATGGCTGTGAAACAGGGTGTGGCGCTGGAAAACAGCACAAGTACTTCGCAACAAGATCCTCAGAGCTATTCGCAACAACCGGTGCCGCCGCCGCCGCCGCCGACGGCGACGTCCCACAGTCCGGCCGGCCACTACATTTATCAGCAACCGCACAGTCCCGTGCCACCGCAAAGTCCAGTTAGTATCGCGGCGCGATCTTCCGCGCTTCCTTTATCGCGTCTTCCAATTTCGAGCGATTCCACCCGAATTCCGTGGATCGACGAACGAAGCGTCGTCGGCTTCTCGAGCGAACGAGAACGGGCTCGACGTCGTCCGATCCACGGAAGACGACACCCCCCCGGTGGTCTCTCGGAAATCTCGACGCGCGTTTTCAACGAGATCGTTGAGATTTCCGTAGAAATACGATTCGTCGGAATTTCGAGCGGAAGAGCGCGAGAGTAGAGGAGAAGAGGATCTGAAAATTTTGATTTTGCGCAGAAGTCGTCGCAGACGCAGCAACAGCAGCACAACTTAGGTTCGTACAGGTCCTCGCAGCAGGTGAACAGGCCGTCGCCGCAGTCGTCGCCCAGTCTAACCGTTCAGGTGAGCATATCGGCGGACCTTCGACCGGCTCGTCCGAACGCGCCGGACTCGGCCGCGCGACCTCGTCTCGAGCGCGGAGGCGCGACAAACTCGCGACGAACTCGCGACAAACTCGCGACAAAGACGTCGACTCGTCGGAACGCCGAACGCGCGGAAAGCTCGACCGTTCCGCGAACTTTCCAAGTCTGCGTCGGCGTCGGCCGAGATCGATGCGGCCGGCGATAGCCCGAAAGGGGAGCGCGTTCCGCCGATCGGTGCGGGAGAGACGTCGCTCGTCGCTCGTCGCTCGTCGCTCGTCGCTCGTCGCTCGTCCGCTCCTCGAAACGATTAAAGGCTGTTTTTCTCGCGGATTGCAGGGAAGCCCGTTGAGTTACAGCAACAACCCGTCGGCGCCGCCCAGTCCGACGGGACACCCCGGTCCACCGAACCTGACTTCGGACGGCCTCGACCAGACCTACTTCCTGAACCAGGCGCAGGCGGCAACCCTTCAACAGGACTTTGAGCAATTCACGATGGTTAGTAGAAAACGTCGAGACGTCGTCGTTTCCGGTACACCGGAGCGAGGACTCGCTCGCTCTCGATCGCTCGCAACTTGGCGACGCTCCAGCGGTTCGGTTCTCTCTCTCTCTCTCTCTCTCTCTCTCTCTCTCTCTCTCTCTCTCTCTCTCTCTCTCTCTTTCTAGCCTCGATCGTAGCGAGCAACGCGTTCCGCTCCGCGTTCTCTCGACGAACGTTCTCTCCTTCCGAATGCTCGTACGGCCCCCGCCCACCCCCCGAGATCGTTCGAATCCGCGGCCGCCGTTTCCGCCGCTTCCGGCGCGGCTCTCGCCCACGCGTCGTTTCGCGTCCAGCGTCTAGACGTCGTCTTGCCGAGTCGAGCGGCGAATCTCGAATCGCCGGCTCGCGAGGAGAGTCCGCTCGTCGTCCCCGACCACCGTTTCTCGCGAGCTCTCGACGGAGCGCGAGAGTTTCCCGGTTTCTCCGATCGGTCCGAACGCCGTCGATCGAAACGAGTTCGATTCGCCGTCTCGTCGATCCTCCCTCCGAGCCTTCGCGAACGAGGATCCGAGACAGAGTTTCCTTCGGAAAGGCTCGACGAGCCGCGAGACGACGTCGACGATTCCTCCGGCATCGATCCGATTCGACTCGGTTCCGCTCGGAAATCGTTCGACGACGCTCGAAGGGCGAGATTCCGCGATCCTCGCGCGAGAACGATCTCGGGCCGCGCGACCTCTCTCTTTGTCCCGATCGCCGGACTCTGGCGAAGTTGCCGCGACTTCGAATCTCGTCGCGTCCGAGACGCGCCGGCCGTTTCCTTTTTCTTCCCGAAAAGAGAAAGCGAACGACTCGCTCTCGCCCGGCTCTCATTCTCCAACGTCTCGTTCCGCGTAACACTGAAATGTTAAGCCTTGATGTTTATCTGTTGCCCGCATCCGTCAGGATTGGCCGCAATTCGCGCAGCAGCTCATGGAACTTGGTTGGACCACGCAGATAGAGGTGAAACAACGCCCTTGTGCTAAGCTAAACTATTTCAAAGCATTCGCTCTTTTTCTATACGATCGATCCCCGCCAAACGACCAGCCCCGCTAAATTTTCTTCGCGAGCTTTCCCCTTTCCGAGTTTCTTTTTTTCGTTGCTCTCTCTCTCTCTCTCTCTCTCTCTCTCTCTCTCTCTCGTCTTCCTTTCCGTCATCTCCCTCTCCCTCTCCCTCTTCCTCTCCGGCTCCGTCTGTTCGCCTTTCGGCCGTCCTCGATGCGGAATCCGCCGACGCGATCGATTTCGCATACGAAATTTGCGAAACGACCTCTCGGTTTACGGATATCGGCGAGAAACGAACCGTAAGGACGCTCGGTTACGGTCTCGCGAGAGTCCGTCCGCTATCGCCGAGGCGAACGTCCACCGACCCGTCGCCGATAACGCGAAGATTCCGCTGCCGCTCATCCGTATTCGTTCTCCCGACTTCCTTGGCGAAAGTTTCCTTTCGAGAAAAAAACCTTTCGAGACTCTCTCGCGTTCGAACGACGACGATAGCGGCAACGGTTGCCAAATTATTTGTCGCATTCGACGCGGAGCAACGAAAACGCGCGAGAGTCGCCTATAGGTTGACGAAACACGGCCCGGAGGATCGAGTACCGGTTGGATCGAGTACACCTCTCGCACCCGAGACGAGCCGAAACGGAGACAGAGATCGAGACGGCAGCGTTCGCAAATCGAAGCAGCGGATCGGGCGACGCGAGAGACCAAGAAGATGGTTCCTGTTCGGCCGACAGGGCCGCCGCGACGAGGAGAACCGGCCCGGGGAATAGGGATGCGGTAACGGGTGACGCGAAGCAGCCCCGAGAACCCGAATCCGAAACCGAAACCGAAACCGATCCTTTTGCGAACAAAACCGTTCACGGTTCGCTTCGCCTTTTGTTTCTCCGCTTCCCTCGTTTTCTTCCGCCCCATAGCATCGGCCAGCATCTACGGGCCGCCCCCTCGGTCCACGCTCGGTCCACGCTCGGTCCACGCTCGGTCCACGCTCGGTCCACGCTCGGTCCACGCTCGGTCCACGCTCGGTCCACGCTCGGTCCACGCTCGGTCCACGCTCGGTCCACGCTCGGTCCACGCTCGGTCCACGCTCGGTCCACGCTCGGTCCACGCTCGGTCCACGCTCGGTCCACGCTCGGTCCACGCTCGGTCCACGCTCGGTCCACGCTCGGTCCACGCTCGGTCCACGCTCGGTCCACGCTCGGTCCACGCTCGGTCCACGCTCGGTCCACGCTCGGTCCACGCTCGGTCCACGCTCGGTCCACGCTCGGTCCACGCTCGGTCCACGCTCGGTCCACGCTCGGTCCACGCTCGGTCCACGCTCGGTCCACGCTCGGTCCACGCTCGGTCCACGCTCGGTCCACGCTCGGTCCACGCTCGGTCCACGCTCGGTCCACGCTCGGTCCACGCTCGGTCCACGCTCGGTCCACGCTCGGTCCACGCTCGGTCCACGCTCGGTCCACGCTCGGTCCACGCTCGGTCCACGCTCGGTCCACGCTCGGTCCACGCTCGGTCCACCCTCTGTCCCCGACTTTGCGATTCGAATCGAACGAGGAACGAAAATCTGCCGAGGTAATCGCCGCGGCGCGCGATCGGCCGCGAATCTCCCGACTGCTCCTCCAATTCGATCGAACCCCATGGATATCCACAGCCCGATACCCCCTTTCGCCCACACCGGAATGGCGGCCCGTCGACGCGACGCCCTCCGCGCCGCGCCGTCGGCGTTCGTTCGCTCGATTTTATCTTCTCGTTTTTCTTTTCTTTTCTAACTTCAGATGGACACCCCCGTGCCGACCAACGCAATGGGATCGTACATCGGATCGCCGAACCACACCACGACCTACGCGCAGGTGAGAAAGAGCGTTTCCGATGTTTTTCGCCGACGAAAGGTGCCGACGAACGATGAAATTTCGATCGGCCGGCTTCGATCGCGCCGCGGCGTTCTCGGTCGAACGGGATGAAAAAATGTCGACGGTCTTAGCTCGACTCCCACGCGAGGCGTCCGCGTTATTACATTTATAGGTTGCAGGGATCTTAAAAGTAGAACGAAGCGGAGGCTCTCTCGCAGAATTTCGATCTCGTTCGCGTTACTTTTAGCCTGCCGCGACTATTAATAAAGGAAATCTTGGAAGGAAAATAAAGCAGAAACTTGCATGGAATTTGTACACCTGCCGCGCGCGAGCGCGAGCGCGACCGTTAACGACGAGAACGAAGCCTCTCGCTCGGGATTTCTTCGACGACAAAATTATTCCTCCGTCGATCTTCTCCGCGAACATCGATCGCTCGTCTCTCTTCTCGCCGTCTCTTCTCGCCGTCTCTTCTCGCGGACTCGTCGAGGCATTATACCGTAGACGTATCGTATCGAGGCATTTCCGGGGTACGCGTAATCGGAACGACGATCTGATCCGGTCCGTCCGAATTTCTTTTGCAGAACGACGTGATAAATGTCGGAGGTGAATTGGGAAGCGGAGACGCCGGTTATTTCAGCACGAGCCCGCAAATGGCTTATCATCAACCTACGACGCCCGGCTCGACCAACGCGACCACCGCGCAGCAGCTCACGCCGCAGACACCGAACACGCCGACGATCATTCTTACCGGTGGGTTTCCCGCGATCGCGTTCGCGATCAAATTCCCGACGAAACTTGGCGATGAAATTCGCGATCGCGATCGCGATCGCGGCCTCGGTCTCGGTCTCGGTCTCGGTCTCGGTCTCGGTCTCGGTCTCCCAAGAGGCGTTGGTTCGCAGAAGGGACCTTGTTCCGCACAGAACAACGACCCTTTTCGAGGACTTCGAGCCAGATTCGGATTCGAAGGAATCGGGGAGAGAACGGACCGAATTGGACCGAAACGAGACCAGCGCGTACTTTGGCGCGTAATTGACGAGATCGTTCGGCGAAAATTGTTGCAGACTTTTCGGGCGCCGACGATCCCGAGTTCGTCAAGGACCTCGGGACGGCGATGATGGGCGACTTCGACCCGGATCTCTTCCCATCGGACGACGCTCTGAGGCAAGGCCTCGATCCCATCGACGTCGACGGTCTCCAAATGCTCACCGACCCGAACATGGTCATATCCGATCCCAGCGCCGAGGCCCACTTTAGGCTAGATCGACTTTAAGGCGAGAACACTTTACTCATTTGCGAATCGCGCGCCGACTATATTACCTAGGGAAATACAAATTCTGACGTGTCCCGGGTGTCGCGAGGAAACCAATTCTGTGGGGCACTTTCGAGACAAACGGGTCGCGGCGCGGCGCTGCGAGGCTCGATCGTCGGAACGCGATCGTCGATGGAACGCCTCCAACGGGAACCGGTCGCCGGTAAAACGTCGCGGGAGAAAAGCGGGCGCGCGCGCGCGCGACTCGTCCCGAGTTCGAGTAAACGTCGTCGCGTCGTCCCCCTAGCGAGACCGTGACGAAACCGGAAACCGGTTCCCGCTGGACGCGTCCGGCCGGCGACCAGACCCGTTCGTGATAAACCGTTGATCGAGGATTAAGTAATACAAATCTTTATTAACCCTTTTTTTATTTTATACTACTTTGTACATTGTATCATGTATGATCTCTAAGAAGCACAAAACAAAACGTCTACTGATTTATACATGCTTTTGTCATATACGATTCTAGTAATGTAAAAAGCGATCTACCGTTTAGGCGAGAAAAACAGAAATTAACGTTTAGCCGATATCGACGAACGAGAACGAGAACGAGAACGAGAACGGGAACGAGAATGTAAACGAATTGCGAGAAAGCGTACGCGCGGAGTACTCGAGAGCGTGTGCAACTCGATCGAGGAACCCGAGAATCGTAGGGCTAGTTCGGATACGGACCGATTCGGATATCGACGCGAGATAGAAGGGCGACACCGCCCATCGAACGTCGCTCCGCCGCGAACGTTGGCCGACTCGGAGCTACCTCGATCTTTCCTTCGCCGTCGATTAATCGCGACCGGTTGTTCCGTTCGTTCCTCGACCACCGCCACGGTCCAACCGCGTTCCGCAACGGCAAATCGTTCGGTAACGGAATATCGTTTAGAAAGAAAAACGCTCGACGGAATTCGACCGAATCGGCGCGTCGAACGGAGACGGTTGAAGACGGAGTACAAAGATCGAGAAGCTTTCGACCGCGCACCGGCCAGCGTTCCGAGCTCGTTTTCGCCGCGGGATCTCTCTTTCGTCGAGCAAAATTCCCTCGGGATTGGAACCGCCGCTCGCCACGGCGATCCTTTTCGCGGATGCAGTTTCGATTTCGGTTTCGGTTTCGGTTTCGGTTTCGGTTTCGGTTTCGGTTTCGGTTTCGGTTTCCGTCGCCTGGATTCGCAAGTTCAAACTTCAATTAGAAAATTGTAATCGCGATACCGCATCGGACTCGGTAATTGGGATTTCGAACAGAATGTACCCATCGATTCGCTTCGCGTCGATTTCGTTATTTGGTTACGTTCCAAACGTTTGCCCGTCGCAGAGTAAACGGGCGGACGAAGCCTTGTCGAAACCGTTCTCGATCGACGCGATCGCGAAAACGATCGAAAAGAAACAGCTCCTCCGAAAGAGGTCGCCGCGCGGCATCGCGCGTCGCGACTCGCGAGATACGATACGGAATCGATTCGACGTTTCCCTCGTTCTTCGACGGCGCCGGCCTTTCTCGACGGTGAAACGGAAACGCTGGAACGAGAACGCGTAGGGGGTCGAGAGCCCGCGACGCTCGTCAATTGTTTTCTGAAAGTAATACGCTGTACTCTTTGTACGACAACGTTGAAATAATAAATCCCGCGGGCCGCCGCGCGGCAACGCGGCAACGCGGCAACGCGTTCTAGAATAATTCGATTAAAAGGTATACGTGTAAGGAGAAATGTATAAAGGAGAAACGGAAATGTCGTGGAGACGCGACGTCCGCGTACCGTACACCCTGTACGCGCGCAGCGGCGAAATCCGATCTTTGTCCGAGCGCCGCTCGCGAGCTTCGACGCGGCAACGGAAGCGCGCGTTTCGAGGTGCCAACGCTCGCGATCGTCCGAGTTTCGAAATTTCCTGGACAGGATCGGTTCGCGAAGGCCCCGTTGTCTCGGCGGCGACGCGGAGTTCGATCGAACGATCGCGCTCGCGCGATATCGATCTCTGCGAAGAGAGCTCCGACTAATTGAATTTTATAGAGTCACGAATCGAGATGCGATCGTCGTCGAAAGTTGTTGGCAAAGTTTACGCCTCGCCTCGCCCCGCCTCGTCGTTTCCACGGAGCTCGCGCGCTGTCCGCGTTCGCGCGTCGTTGCCCATCGTCGTTGTTCTCGAAACACCGTTCGCGTAACCACGACGGAAAACAAATTCTGTACCCACGATTCGCGCGTCCAGCCATCGTAGGAAAAACAAAATTACGAACGACGGAAGAATCCTAATGGAAAAAAGATCTCCGAAAAGCGGTAAAACCTTTCCGTAGCGTGGACCTGGAAACGCGAGACGCGCGACGCGAGCGGTTGGCATCGGAATCGGAGGTTGTCCGATGTCCGGCACGATCCGATCGTTGCCGGGGTGTTCGCGGAGTCGAAGCCAAGTCGCTGGACGGAGAATCGCGCGGGTCGCGCGGTAGCTCGCGAGGTCTCGGAATCGCCTCTTCCCTTCGAGTCGTTGGTTTCCCCCGCGGAAACGTTCGCGAAAGCTCTCGTCGAGAAACGCGAAACTGTGCCAAAGCGCGTGGACGTTCGTCGCTCTAGATCGTAAAGATAATTGAGACCGTGAACCGCGATACCGAGGGGATAACGCGACCGCGCGACCGAGTTGGTCCCGACGGGCCGCTATCGGGACTCGAGAAGAGAGCCGGTGTCGAGAGAGCGTCGATTTCTTTGCTCCGGAGAAGAGAGGATCGATCTCTCGGTCTTTCCGCGGCGTTCCCTCTCTCCCTCTTTTGTAAACCGTTGGTAGTACTTAACGTCGCTCGACGTCGGAACCCTCTCTCGTCGAATCGCGGCGGCGGCGGCGGCGGCGACGACGACGACGAATCGATCGGGAGCCGTCGCTCCGGATCCGAATTTTCGAATCGCGAGTCGACGAGTCAATTTTACCCTCGTCTCGAGTCCGATAGCTTCGATCGCTCGGATCTCGAGTCGTCGGAGAGCCTCTTCTCCGAGGCCGTCGCGCCGACCGCGAACCGCTCGGAACGCGCGCTTCGTCTTCGAGGCCGACGTCTCGGGATACGTTCGCGTTGGAATCCGAACACCGAAGAACGAAGAACGAAGAACGATCCGAACGATCTTCCGACTTGGACGTCGAGAACGATACTGTGTATCGAGGAACGCGTCGACGCGGACGCTTTCGTACGAAACGACGGCATCGATTCTCCGCGCTCGTCGTTTACCCTGGCTCCAACGTGAACGTACTCTCGGAGGTGCGAGGAACGATTTCCTCGCCTCGAGGAGGCGCGGCCTTTTCGGCCGTTTTCGTCGATCGGCGATCCGCGACGGTCGGTCGAGCTCGATTCGAAAGGACTCCGTTGTCCGTTGTCGCGTTGGTCGCGTTCGGCTTGATTTTTTAGCGGAATCGTAGATCGACGTCTCTTCGAGGTCGGAGAATCTATCCTGCTCCGAAAGATCTTTCGGATTCGAGTTCTCGGCGCGAAGAGATCGTCCAAC